TGAGAGCTATTTCAAACTAGTAAAACAAAAGCCCCCTTGTGAAGGCTTGGAATAGCTGGGTTATTTTACCTACAATTCTGAACCCTTAAAAATTCCACCCACCCTGAAGGGGATTTGCTGTCCTGCAGGGGGGAATGTTATTAGATAACCACTGTGTTAATGTAAAATAAAAATTAAAAAGATACTCTCTTTCTGCAGGAGAGTTGAAATTTTAAGGTTCCAAGACTCCTAGTCTCTTGAGTTCAATCCTCCACTGAGCACTCTAACCCCAATCTGGCAAATCCCTTATGCACATGAGTAGTCCTGCTCAGCTCAATGCCAGAGCTTTCAGCAGCTAGCAGGAAAGAGTTTTAAATTCCCAGGAATATCATCCCCATAGTGCAAAACCAACACCTTTATCTGATCAGTCCTGCAGTGGGTGAGATAATATATTTTATTGGACCAGCTTCCAATAAAAGTTCTCACACACACCTTGTCTCTCTAATATCTTGAGACCCAAATAGCTATACCAGCCCTGACACAAACCTTCAGTGTCAGTCCTGGAAGGAATAGAGACAGTAGTTCTAAGAACTGGATGATAACACCCCAGATTCACAAGCATATAGAGCAAGATGAAGAAAGGATAGTGACTATCTAGATTGGGCTACCTTAAGGTTCCTCCATTTCAGCTCATCTCCAAGTCTTCATGAGAGTGAATAGCAAGGTGACAAAATATCTGGGTTAGACACTGCATAATTCATAGTCTGTTCTTGGCACTTGTGTGCAAACCAGGAATAATGCTTTAAAAGTATTTTTCTCAGTTCTGAGCTATGGGATACCATTAGTTTTAAAAGAGAACTGCCAGATTTGCAGTCATAAATATTGGGACTACATATTAAATATGAGTGCATTTCCCCAGGCATGCTTTGTAGGTCTTAGGACTTTGAAAAGATTTCATTATAGAGAACCTCTCTAATGTTGTCTAAGATTTTTTCAGGTTTGAGAGCCTAGGGGAAGCTATAAAATAAATAAAAGTAATGTGAGGAGTTTTAAATATGGAAAAAATATTTAGGTAGTAATGATATGAAATGTTTTTTAATTATACTCTCTGCTCTCTCTCAACCCACTGGAAGTAAAGCAACTGGAAGGGTACATAGACAGCTGTGCACATCTGGCAAAAAGGCCTTTTGGTATTCATAATTTTTATTTAACCCATTTACAGGAAACCTATCACAAAGCATCTAAGAGCTGTACAATAAAACCAAAGCACAACACATTAAAAATTCAATTAAAAGAACTGTCCAGACACAGCCAAGAGATCTTGCACAGTGGGAAACCCAGTGACCCTCAAAGCAACAAACTGAGGCTACTTCCCAAATGATGTGGAAATATTGGAGAGAAAAAATTGGATAGAAAACATGTGCGTGCACACCACAAAATATACACACCAGCAGCAGAGGCTCCAAAATGGTCAAGAATAAGTCATCTGAAACAGATGTGAGTCCCAGAATGCCAGAGGCCAACACAGGCAAACTTCCTCTCAGAAGGAGCTCCATATCTATTTTGTTAGATTTATACACTCATTCTGTAGCTGAGGACCTTCAACTGAGAAGATCCAGTACCTCCACTGAACTCATGAACAAACAGTTTTTTATCATATTTTAGAATTTTATCACCAAGGGCTAGTCTACACTAGAAAAGTTCTGCTGGTAAAATTATATTCGTTCGACGTGATTGCCTACCGCTTACCATACAGAAGGGTAGCCATGTTATCCTGTAACTTTAAAAACAACTTAAAAAAAACACAAGTAGTTCTGTGGCACCTTAGGCTATGTCTACATTGTACAGTAATTTCAGAATAAACTATTCTGGAATAGTTATTCTGAAATAGCTTATTTCAAAGTAGCACGTCTACATTGCAGAGAAGCCTCAAAATTATTCCGAGGCAGGCTTCCCTAACGTAGACATGCTATATCGATTTAGCGCGCCAGGCGGAATAATTTAGAATGGCCCTGGTGAGGGGCTATTTCGAAAAAGCAGAAGCGGAGCGTCTACACATGCCTTATTTCAAAATAGCTATTTCAGAATAAGCATTATTCTTCATAGAATGAGGTTTACGGAAGTTGGAATAAGCCGTCTGTTATTTCAAAATTATTTCAAAATAATGGAATTGCTGTGTAGATGCTTGCATAGTTATTTCAGAATAACAGTGATTATTCCGAAATAACTTGCTGTGCAGACACATACCTAAGGGTATGTCTACACTTGCAACCTAGTTCAAACTAGGGATGCAAATGCAGGCATTCAAAATAGTCAATGAAGCAGGGATTTAAATACCCCATGCTTCATTACCATGATCTCACCAGCGTGCTAGTTCGAATCACAGCTGATTCGAACCAGGAAGTGCACGCCGGGATGCGTTAGTTTGAACCAAACCCCTTGGTTTGAACTAACGTTACTCCTCATTTTTTGAAACACCGGGAGGAGACTGATGCCGGGCTCCCATGGATGTGTTTCAAAGTGGCAGAGCTGCATGGACCACAGGCTCTGACCCCAGGCTCCACGTGGTGTGCCTGGGGAGGTTTGGAGTACCCCTCCTTCCCCCTCCCTCCTTGCTGCTTCTTTCTGATAGACACAGCAAAAGGGGGGGAGAAGTGACTAGTCGACAAGCTTGTTGACTAGCCGATAAGCATTTGCTTATTGGATACTTGATTAATCAACTGGTCCTTCACATCCCTAGTGCTAAGTGCCCAAATCTCCCATCATGTCCGCATACCTCCTGCATCAAGCTACTCATCACCTTGTAGATCAGGCATAAGGTTCCAACCTATCCGAATTTAGAAAGTGACCTTGACAAGGGCTTGATCCTGTTAAGGCATGGATAAGTGGTGCAAGAGGGCCACGCTGAGCTATAAATGGGACTGCTCAACATGCAGCTTTTGTTATTTTCGAGCCATTGAGATAAAAGACGAGGGATGGGAGGAGGAAAAGGAGGAGGATATGGTGCTGTAGATTGGTGGTGGAGCAATAACTCTAGGCCCAATACATATCACAAGGCATTGAGAAGCTCACTAGGTGGGACAGTCTCAGCTTGACAAAGCCCTGGCTGGGTTGACTTAGTTGGGATTGGTCCTGCCTTGGGCAGGGGGCTGGACTTGATGATCTCCTGAGTTCTCTGCTATGATTCTATGACAGTGTTTTATCTGGACTCTCGGGGTGGGGTGTATCTTCAGTCTCTGATGCCCCACACTGCTGATCAGTGGCAACTCTGTCTCAGTTTCTCCTTGGTTTAGCGAATCACCATTTGCTCCCAGGTCTGTGACAGCTTCATTATGACTCCAGCCAGAAAATATTAATAGTCTCTCCCCCATCCCCATATGCTAAAGCCCCTTGAACCAGAAGGTGGATAACCTCAGTGATGAGTCAACACTCTCAGGGGTCTTGGGGTTCATATCCCTTTGCTCCCCCTGCTGAGGTTGGTAGGGGTTCCCAGGCCCAGCCACTCCTCTGGGTTCCAATCCAGGAACCCCGTATGAAGAATTTGGAACTAAATCCTTACACTCTGATTCGCTTCTTCTAGAGGCCCAGTTACCTGGATAGCTTCCCACCAGAGCACTGGTAAGAACCCTACTCTCTGTGGTTCCTTAGCCTCTCTGACAGCTCTCCCTCCCTTCTGGCCTGCAGCCTTTGTATTTCCCTAGCTGTTGCCTGGCCACCAATCAACCACTGCTGAGGAGGCAGCCTCCCTGCTAACCCTTTAGTGACTGGAACAGCTTTGTGACAAGCATTCATGGACCTATTTCTGAGGCAGTGGTTGGTTCATATAACTGGCTGGCAGTAGGAATAATAAAAGAGCCTTTGAAAAGGCCATCAGTCCAATGCAGGGATAGGCTGCGATCTGGCATTTCTTCTTGCAAGGCACAAGGAACCCGTAAATTTTGCCTGCGATTTTTCACCAGCAAAATGAATTATAGGTGGAAATCTGGGTATTTGAGTGCAGCAGGATCAACATTCACTGCAGGCCCAGCTCCTTGCCCCTGGAAGGGGCGGAGCTTTTGGTGAAAGATACGGAGCCAAGAGCAGTCATCCCTCAGCATCGCTCCAAGTGCAGCGCTGGGTCCTCTCTTCCAGCCCTCAGAGACACATGGGCTACGTCTAGACTGGCCCCTTCTCCGGAAGAGGCATGCAAAGCAGGATTTAAATAAACATGGCCGCCACTTTGTTTCCGGCTTGGGGAAAAGCCGGAAAAGAGCGTCTAGACTGGCGTGATCCTCCGGAATAAAGCCCTTTTCCGGAGGATCTCTTATTCCTACTTGCAAGTTTATTTAAATCCCGCGGGGGATATTTAAATCCCCCGCGGATTTCCCTATTCTGACTTGCCTGCTTTGCATGCCTAGTCCGTCTTATGTGGCCAGTCGAGATGTAGCCCAGATGTATATACCATATCATTTGTCTTGTTTGCATTGTACTTCTTTCTGCATTTTTATTTAAGCAATTATTTACATCCTGTTCTGAATAAGAGATTTCGCTCAGCAGGCAAGATTGCAGAACTTCTTTTTTGTATGTGTAGCAGC